ACAGATCCTGGCCTGTTACTAGGTCTTAGCAGAAATTAATGCTTGACAATAGGCCACAAAGTTACCATGTGACCCGAAATGTCCTTCATGAACTGGATGTTACCTGATCTAGCACACCACAAAGTTGAGCGTGCACAGGAACAGTCATCAGGTGGAAGTGGTACAATGTGATTGGACTTGAGCAGGTCCTGAAGGCACAAGTAAGTCATGGTTTCTACTGCTACACTGCCCTTTCTCTCCCAGTCTGCACTTGTGGCCTATTGGGGAATAGACTAAGATCAGTTTACAGAGAAAGAGAGCCCTCAGGCCTGCTTTACAGATGGTCTGAAGAATATGCAGGTACCACCCCAAAGTTGAAAGCTGCAGCGCTACAGACACTCTCTGAGACATGGCTGAAGGAGAATAGTGAAGGGAAATCCTCTCAATTGGCAGAACTTCTGTGTTTCTAGTTGTGTGCTTTGCTTGGAAGGAGAAATCACCATATCTGCAATTATGTACATATTCAGAGGCTGTAGTCAGTTGTTTGGATTTCCAGGGACTTGAAAAGAACATGATTGAGAAATCAATGACAAAGAAATTTGAGAAACAGGTATAGATGTATCTGAACAGGCAAAAAACATGAAGATATTTGTGTGCTATGTGAATGTCCACCAAAAGAGGACCTGAAAATAGAAAAACTTTGATAATCAAATGGATGGGATGACCGACCTATTTTATGGATACCAGACAACCACTTTCTCTGGGCAGCCCTGTCATTGGTCAATAGGCTCATGAATAAACCAGTCATTCTAGCTGGCATGGAGGTTATACTTGGGCTCAGCAATGTGAATTTCCACTCACCAAGTATAACCTGTCTACAACCACAGCTAAGTACCTAGTTTGCCAGCAGCAGGGACCAACACTGAGCTCCTAACAAGACATCATTTCCCAGGATGATCATCTACCTGGTGGCAAATTGATTACATTACTAAGTGGGGAAGTATTTTATTCTTATTGTAGTGGACAGTCTGGATATGATTTGCCTTCCCAGCACAGAATTCTCCCAAAATTACCATCAGTAGAATTATACAATTTTTTATCCACTTTCATGGTATTCCACCCAGCAATGCTTTTGACCAAGAAAATCACTTTATAGCCAAAATAGTTGTCCTATGCCTATGGAATTCACTGGATTTCTCATGCTCCCCAATAATATGAAGCAGCTGGCTTGATAGAATAGTGGAATGAGCTTTTGAAGGCTTAATTTATAGCACAAGCTATGTGGCAATATTTTGAAGGTCTAAATTGAGGTTCTCCAAAAGGCTATATATGTTCTTAATCAGCATCAAATAGAATGTATTATATTTCTTCCATAGGCAGGAGTCAGAGGTTCAGGACTCAAGGGATGGGTGGAAATGAGCATAGTACCCTTCACCATTATTTCTAGGAACCCACTAGCAATATATTTGCTTCCTGTTCCCATGGCCTTATATTCTTTTTTTTTTATTAACTTTTATTTAATGAATATAAATTTCCAAAGTACGGCTTATGGATTACAATGGCTTCCCCCCCATAACGTCCCTCCCACCCGCAACCCTCCCCTTTTCCTCTCCCTCTCCCCTTCCATTCACATCAA